CTCCCCTTACTAACGAAGGAAACATAAGTCATCTACTACTAAAGTACTGACAATGCTCTTTGTTGTCTGTACCTGCACTTGCTTTTGTATCTGGCTGTGCCATGCCATGCTTACTACAGAAAACAAATGCACACAAACAAGTGATATAAAGCCAGAAGGATGGTTGCTGCCATATTTATAAAATAGATATCTGTAGCTTGATCTGGCCTGTCTCCTAAAGAAATGACATGTTGAGTGCATTATATTTTTAAATAACTTTGAACTTAGCATGGACGGTGACTTATTTCACTGATGTACTGAAGCATTTCTCTCTTTGTGTAAGCTCTGCTCAGGTAGCGGCTCTCTTTTAAGATGTCAAATTGTATTTATGGGAATCGTTTTTCTTGTAGTGAATTTTAAGTGACTCATGTTAGCTGTCATAATGGAGAGTATATGTATCAGTTTTTTTTTCTGCTTATGTAAGAAATTATTGTAATTTCAATTCCAACAAAAATCTGCCCTCAGGTATCAAAGGCACCAAATCATCCTTTCGATCTTGTTGTTGATATGAAAACGACCAGTTTAGCTTCAGCTTAAAGGAATAGTCTGACATTTCAGGAAATGCATTTTCTTCGCAGAGTTAAAGAAGATCGATACCAGTGTCGTGTCTAAACAGTAAATATGTATCTTGAGTAAGAAGCTGGTTAGCTTAGCTTAGCATAGAGACTGGAAGCAGGTCGAAACGGCCATAGCCCTGTTCTTCCCAAAGTTAACAAAATCCACCTTCCACCTTTTTAAGATCACTAATTGCCATGTTATAATGCATTTGTTTAAATCTGAACATAAACCATAAGTGACACATTGTGGTTTTACAGGGAGATGTGTGTCAGGCTATTTCTTGTGGCAGTCACTTCTTGGACTGACAACAAACCTCACAAACTTACTTTTCCCAATCAAGAAATAGTTCAACTCATAACCTTTAAACCTCAAGTGTTTTTCGGTCACACTCGTACACTTTGGTTTGTGCACAGATTAAACAAAGTAGATGCAATGTTTTGATTCCTGAGCATCAGAGCTGCTGGTAGGTGGATTTTGTCACAGAGACAGGCTAGCTGTTCCCCCTTGTTTCCTGTCTTTATGTGTTAATTAAGTGCATTTTCCAAAATGTCGAACTCTTTCTTTAACAAAGCTCCATTACCAAACCATTCAGCATCATTTTGAGATCTGACTGATCAGCTGTCGAATTAAAATGATCATTGACAATAGGAGCAGCCAGACTGGACACCTAATGATCCTTTTCTATATCAGAGCATAAATTTCCCATTCAGTAAATCCATCTGATCTCCTTATACAGTTTTATTATAATAATGTAATGTACAGTTAATGAGGTTGACATTTATCTTGTCTGTTGATTGCATGCCTTATTCTCTCTCCCTCCCTGGTCTCTGGGTGTCTCTCTGTCTGTTTCTCCAGGCTTTCCTCTGAGGCCACAGGACTGGCAGCCAACTGATAAGACACTGCATCTGCACTAAATCTCACTTTTATATCATCGGCTACCATAAAGCAGTCAATGCAACTATCCGACTTAAGAGTTTATATATTATACTGCCTCTTCCTCATTTGAAGGTCAACCGCCACTGATTTGATCCGCTGAGTTCATTATTTATTTTCTTTGTTTTGGTTTTAGTAAAAAGAAGCAAACAATTAGGTTTTTAATTCCCTTTTTGAGTCGAGTTGGAGGTTTTAATGATTTGTTATTAGACTTCTTCTTTTCTTTTTCTTTTTTCTTTTTTTTTTGTCTGTTTTTTTTTTCTTCTTGGATGGATCCCACGCCTTCTTCCCTTTTTCTTTCTTTGCCATCACAGAGGAGTAGAGTTGGAAAACTCTGAATAGGCATATAGATTTAGTTCTATACAGTCAGTTTTTTCTTTAAAAAGGAAAAGACAAAAAAGGAAAAATAAACAAAAAGTATCAAAAATAAGAATAGAGTGACTGTTTTATTCTGTGTTTATATACGCCCCCCTGCCTTTTTCTCATCCAGTTCCACAAGTCGGTCTGTCCACTTCATGTCCACACTCACTCGCTTTAAATATACACAGCGGTCTCCCCCTTTGTCACCTTTTCAATTGAAGTGCTTGTAACATGGATTATGCTCGTGTCACTGATGAGAATGCGTAGCTGTACATGCACTGTCACTGATTATATTTGGTTATGACGACAAATGTTTTAACACTCACAGTTGAATTTATCCGGATAATTTAAAATGTGTATTATTACGCATGTCAGTTTCCCCCCCCCCCCACTCCTCCCCTCTACATGTCATTCCTGTTTTCCCCCTCTCCTGGTCCTGAGATCATGTGTTGATATTTTGCTGGGATGGGGGGTTTTTCGGGGTTTGGGCTTGGCTCAAGGGATCGGAAGCAGAGGGTTCTCCTCGCTTTTTTTGTAAAGACTGATATATACTAAAAAAAAAAAAAAAAAATGTTGGAATATTTGTTTTAAATGGAGGAAATATTTTTTTTTAACTACCAAAGGGGGATTAACTCCTGGACACTGACTGATCTGTCTATTAAACGTGATGAGGCTGAGAACTGAAATCATTGAAGCTCTGGAACTAGACAAAGAAAGGGTTGTGATTTAACACTAGTTTCCTGCTCTTTGCTTTGCTCAAGTCAGAATTTATTTTATTTTTTATTTGCAGGAAAGAAAACTTTTGTGCACGTTTTTGAGACTGTAGACCTGGGTGCCACAACATTGTTAAAAAAATACAGAAATAAAGATGTGAAATGCTCAAACCACAGACTGTCCTGAGTCTTCTGTCGCTGTTTAAAGTAGACCGAGCACAGGAGTTGAGTTTTTACAGGTTTGATTTTATTTTAAATTGTTTCTTAAATATATTTATTGTACAGTTACAATAATGCAGTATAAAAAGCAAACATTTCAGTTCATACCAGGTTGTTTCAATCGGCATCATAGGAAACACAAGTACCTCCACAGTCGAGACACTAGAGGGCAGTAGTTTTGCTTTTTGGCAACATTTTATCCTGCATGAGGATTTTTAGCTTTAAACCTTGGGGGCTCAATCAGTTTAAAATGCTCTATAAATTTAAACTTTAAAACTTAACACCAGATTTAAAAAACAAACAAACAAACAAGCTGCCGTTTCTAGCTTATTGAGTTTGACCTGATCAGTCATGTATTAATGGAACAGGATGTAATGTGCTGTTGTAGAGTCAGATTGAACCACATGTACATAAAGAAGGCTTGTCAAGAGACACCAGTACATAAAAGCAACAGTTTGATCTATCATACTGGCAATCATGAGGGAGCCCTTATACAATTGTGAAAAATGACCATCTGCCGGTGAGGACAATGTCAGAGTGATCTTCCTCTTAGCTGATGAACCACACTGTGGGCTTGTAAAGCTTCAGCATCTAAGGTAATCTGCAATCTTGAGAGTAGGCAAAAACTACAAGTGGACAAATCGTGGTATCACAGGCCATTTTGAAGCGTACACTGATTTTTTATGAGAGCAGAAAAATGCAAAGTTGAGGTCCAAAATGTTCAGAATTTTTACCCTCTGGCGGTGAATAAGCCAAAGGTCAGTTCTCTGATTTATTTACTAAAACAATACTAGAATCCACAGTATGGAACTGGGGGGGGGGGTTGTTTACATAAATGAGTCACATTATTACGTTTCCCCAGATAATCTCCTCTCCTCTATGCTAGCACACTGCATACATAGTGTGGCTGCTGGTCTGGCAATGCCAGAACTGAGTGAGTTGTTTTTTTTTTGTTTTTTTTGTTTGTTTTTTTAAGTGATTGTGAGATCCATCTTGGGGTTTCATGTCCCTGTCATCCATGCAACTTCAGTCATTAAACCTGTCCTACGAGTCTTACTTGTGTTGCATCTGTCCTCTGTGGATGGGTCTAATTTTTCATTTAGATCTGAATCACAAACAGTGACAGCTTTTGATTGATAAATATCCAATGGGCTGTCCATACCTCTTCACAAGCATGCTTTTTTGATGCTATATATACACCTAGATGCTCAGAAAGGGACTTCCAAACTGGTATTGCATTTTAATACAATAAACACTGCAATACTAAAAAAAAAAAAAAAGCCTGTCTGCCCTGAATAAACCCACATGTGGTTCCTTTAACCTGTGACATGAAAGGACATATTGTACCGGAGCAGACGTATTGCTTCTTTGTTCACATGTTGTTCCTCTTTTCTCTGTGTTTTGATGCTCAGACATGAACAGCAGCTACAGTACATTCTACTACCATAAGCTTTTTGAGGTTCAAATAGAGTAGCGTCACCTAATTAGAAACATCAGCACCTTTAAATTATACAATCTCACATTTTTAAAAATTTGTTCATTGTACAACATCACATATTTACATTAATATTAAAACACCGAAGTAGAAAATGGCAACATAATCCGTGTTACAAATATAAATTAAAAAAAAAAAAAAATGTAAACAACACAAATGGAAAAATGTAAACTTTGTTTGTTTTTTTTAACTTCACTGTAAATTAATAATAAATTAGTCAGTGCATAATATTTTGAGAGGATATGACACAATAATAACAAGGAACTTTTTCTTAAATTAAGTGCAAGTAGCAACATCAGTGGATGTCCCAGTAACGTTGACAACGGAAACATTAAAATATAATAGAAGCCCTGATAGGAGTTCATAAACATGTTCTCATATGACACGACTTGAAATAACATGACACACATTTTTCATGACGGAGATAAAAATACAAACTGACATGGAAGATGACGAGAGACGTGAACAGACGGTTGTGTAGTTGGCCTCTTTTGACTGAGGCCCCTGTCGCTGAGGTGTCATTTCATGTGTTTTTGTAAAGCTGATCTAGGGCCAGTTGCTAAGGAAGGAGCAGACGAGGCAGCTGCTCCGTCAGCTCGGCTAGTGCCCCAGTTCAGTTTCACATCCCTGTGATTTATCTCAAACAGAATAGGATTTTTCCGTTTTTTTTTTTCCTCCCCAGGATGTCACGTTTTTCATCCCACTCGCCAATTTCCAAGAATTTGTTTTGTGTTGCTGCTTGTAATGAAGGGTGACAGGCCTTCATTTCCCGACTCCCCGCAATGTCCCTGATCATGACTCAGTGTTTTCTAAGGTCTGTGAGAACAAAAGAGGCATTCAGAGGCCAGATCTGCGAGTGTCTGAGTGGGTTGAGGTGTTGGGTTTTCACCAGTTGGTTGGAGGTTGGCTGGGCTCTGCAATGCCTGAATGGTCCAGCTCTGCGCTGTCACAGTCCGAGTCATCATACAGGCCCTGGTTTGAAGCAAAAACATGAATTATTTTTAGAACAGCAACAGATTCTTTGACATTTATCTACAATATCAGATTTTTGAAGGGTAAAGTATTGTTCGCATCTGTCAGCTACATCTCTACGCTGTATATCTGACTACTATTTTGTCTCTTTCTGTTCACTCACTCTTTTCTTGCCTACCTCATAATTGTGGTCATTAGAAGCGAGCTGGGTCTTGACTTGTCGTAGAATAGCTTCCTTCTCGGACAGCCCGTCGGAGCACAGCTGGGTCGGGTCAGACGGGTCGGCGGGAATCTCCGAGCCCTGAGACAGCAGGTCATCGCTCTTGTCGTCCAGACGCTCGTCGGTGTTGGTGCTGACCACGTCCGGTGTGCCGCTGTGGGAGTGGTCACTGGTATTTCCCTCCTCGCCGTCCGAGACTGACAAGTTCTCTGAGCTAAACGTTGACAGGGACTGGCATTTGGTCATGCTCACGGGACGTCTAAGGGGGCAGTCCAATAGCAGAGAAGATTAGTGGATTTAAAGGGGCTGCTCACCCTTACAGGTGCAACAAACTTACAGGAGAGTTCAGGTGATGTCTGAGAAGAGGTCTAATCAGGCAAAATCCATTAAAACACCACCAAAAATGCAAAGATTTAAATATAAATAAAGCAGGTATTCAATAATTCTATCTAATGTGTTTAAAAACTCGTACCGTCTTCTCGGTAACTCCACTTCACTGTCCACTTCTCCTTCCTCTTCCTCTGACGACACGCCGCGTCTCTGTGGAGAATATTTACGGTAAGTATGAAACATCCGTGTTTGCCTGTTTCACTGCAGACTAATTGCCCACCATCCTGCCAACATTTTCAGAGCCATCTGGTAAGTTATGACCCTGATGACGCACTGGATACATACCGCTGCTGGAAAGCTCAGTGTGTTCAGGTTTCGAATTGACTGAGCTTGAGGTTCACTGAATCATCAGCAGCAAAATTCCTCTTTATCGTTCCATTTTCGTTACAGGTGCAACACACAGCTAACCTCAGCTGTGCACTGGCAGCAGTAATGAATAATAATAAAACACACGAAAGATTTCCGCCATGCTCCGCGACTTTGGTGCGTGATACTCATTAGTGTCATTATAAAAGATGGTTGCACTCAATGGGAAGCTTGTTCTCTAAATCAGACAACAAAAGTAATTTGTAGAAGTCTAATCAGTAAGTGAAATCGGTGAAACACCTGCGAGAGTGTATCATGGGTAAATCTTTGCTCCGTTTTAAGGAAGAAGGCAAAAATGATTTTGTGAAAACTGCGCTACAGTTAGTACACAGCATTTTTTTGTTAAAGTCTCACCTGACTGCGTGTCACTGCTGCCCTGTAGAGCAGCGCCGCAGGTGTGAGGCGCTGACTTCTGGGTGAGCGCGTGATCACCGGCCCATCCTCCTTCTCCTCGCCCTCGTGGGGGACGCGGGGGCTCCCGAGCACAGACGTCCTCCCCGCAGCGGCTCCCCTGCCGCACGGCGAGTCAGGGCTGCTGGAGAACGGAATAGAAGCTGCGTCTTCGCTGGGCGTGTCACTGCGTGGAGGTGTTTCTGCCAGGTCGTCAGTCCCTACTCCCACATCTGGCCCGTCCTCTGGCCCTCCAGTCCTTCTGCTCTCCCCCAGACCGGCTGAGGCGCTCTGACTGCCCGCTCTGTCCAGCCCTGGCCTCGCCTGCCCCTTCCTCCGGCCTTCAGCTTCCAGGGTGGTTGAAATGAGATCGGGGCTGGAGGAGGACATCTTCTTGAGCAGCAGGTCATGCTGCAGACCCCTGAGGGCTGCACTGGGGTCTAGATGGTGCTTGCTGCAGGGAACAGATGAAGTGGCGTTGACCATTGCTAAAGATGAGGAGAGGGTGGCTTTTAGCTGAGCCAAATCCCCACTGCTGCCTTTTCCAGCCTTCCTGTAGCGAGGTTTTCCTCGGCGTGAGCGGCCAGGGGAGGTAGAGCCTTTGTTGGGTATTGTGACCTGGGTCATGGACGAGTCCAGTTTGGGGAGGATAACTTCGGACTTAAGTAAGTCTGGCCTGGAAAGGACAGGGACAGAATTAATAAAAAAAATAGATATAGATATAGATATAAATAGACTATATTACTCAACACAGCCTTGCAAAGTCAATAACCTCCTTCCTGTCTCACCTCTTGCTGTGTGAGGGCAGTTTCTGAGGTACGTTGCGTTTCTTCATGAGCTTCTCCATCGAGTTGGAGGAGGCTGACTGTCTGGAGCTGTGGTGCTTGAAGCAGCCCGGGTATTTCTTGTCCAGTGAGTGCTCCCTCCTGGCGTTTTAACACAAAGCCAATATTCATTTAATGGATGTCAATGGATACTCAGCATGGTGTAGGAGAGCACTTTGTTGCATGCAATGGCCCTGTGTAACTGGATGTAATAGCCATTAGCCTCACATTATGGATGAACTTTTCCATGCCTTTTCATAGCAAATACACTGCTTGACCAAAGTCGGTGGATAACAAGCTGTTAGTGCGGTAAGGTATATGAATAATTAAAACCCTAGTTTTTCTAATGTTAGAATTTTTCAGGAACTAGGACTTTAATATAATGTACTGTCCTGAGCCATTTAATTTGTGGTACAAATCAGTGCCAGTGTTTTCTTACTTGAGCAGTTCTTTCTCTTTGATCTCCAGCTGCAGCATGATAGCATTGAGCTCCATGTAGAGATTGTTAGCTCTCTCCAGTTTCCTCTCATAATGCTCCCGGATGTCCAGTGCATGTCTGTGTGGAGAGGAAAGTGAGGAGAGGGACATAAATACACAGACGTGCACATTTATCTGCTATTACCATGAGTGCCCTTATTCCCATCTCCTTGGCTAACCTGAGCTCTTCTCTGCGTCGTTTGATCAGCTCCTCGTCCAGCCTGTGAAGACACGTCCCCTCTGACTTGATCTTCTCAAAGTGGTGCCTCACCTCGTCTCTCCACTCCGCCTGGTGAGACACATGAAACACATTCGTTTCACATTATTTAACCATTTTACAGCCAGAAATGAAAAATACTGAAAAGAGATGGTTGGGTAAAAAAAAAAAGGTTTCAGATACTTTACGAATGGTGTCTGATATTACCACTATTCCTATAATCACTGCTTTTATTCCCAATACTACTATTACTATTACTCCTAGAAAACAGCAGCCTGCACTTGAAGGTAATGCAAAGTAAAATCCTCATAGTAACTTGTCTCTGTTGCTGTTTTCTAAGCACCTGCTATAAAATTCTGTCTTTTATTAGATTTGGAAAATGCTGCCATTCCTGTGGTTCCCATCAGGATAATAAAGTATGAATTGACTTCATTTGACTAATGATATTAACAAGAAATTATATTTATATTGAGATTAAATTTCAGCGCACCTTGATATAGTGAAAAAAAAAAAGCTCTTAATTTGCAGACAGATTGAGGTTCATGTGTATCATCTAAACAAAACCCATTAAGCTGTCAGATGATAATCAATACACAGGGAATAACACTGAACATGAACTGACATGACATGAAGACAAAAAAAAAAATGCAGCGTGGGCATTTTCTTGTTCACATTGAAGCGCGACAGCTGTTATCTGATACCTGTCATATCAAAGGACAAAGGAAGTCAGATATATGAGCGTGTGCATGCACATGCATGTGTGTGTACCTCGTGTGTGTGTGTGTGTGTTTCCGTCTGTGCATGAGGGATGCTGTTCTTATTAAGCTAATGGACTCCTCTATGTCTCCAGTCCCCTCTTTCTCTCCCTCTCTTTGCTCTCTCTGCTCCCTACCATTAAAGCAATCAATACACTCCAGCAGAAAATACTTCTTTCTAACGTCACAAGAAAAATCCATTATGGGGCAGAGAGGAGAGAAACTGGGGAGGGTAGTAGGAGGGAGGTGGGGGGGGGGGAATAAAGGATCAAGGATAAGGGGAGGGGGGGAAAGAGGTTTGGGTTTTGCATCATGCAAAAAAAAAAAAAAACAGAGGTAGAGGAAGGGGGGTTGCAGCTAAAACAACTAAAATCGTATTTATTTTGTGTGTTTGTGCGCACAAGTGTGTCTTGTGATTACACATGCTTGACTTACAAATGGATCTGTGCTTTTAAGACATATCTTCCACACAATTATACTTTTCTAAGTCTCCCCCGTCCCTTCATCTGTTTGGGGTTGCAGTTATCCCATCCCCCACCCAGTCACAAGCAGATGCGACACACCCTCTCCATCGCACAGACCTTCTTGTTTTGATGTGATGGAGGTTGGGAAAAGGTTTCGAGCTTTGACCACAAATCAGCACTCACACGTGACAGGGAACCAGGACCAAGGAACCAACAATAATATGTTGTGATTGGAAGGACAGGTATTATTACCAGTGGGGCTCCCGAGAGGCCTGAGGCCCTAGGCAAGCTGCACACACTGCACTGCCTGAAATCACTGCAGCAGACTGGAAACAAATGGCAGTGGCTTGACAGCAAAATGACTGTGAGAGATACTGGAAATTGTTGACAGGAGCTTCTCTGGCAGAGAGACATACAGGAGGCATTTCTACCATTGTCTGATGCCCATTTATTTGAGCAGGGAGACTGTGACTTGAGAACTGATTGATCTCAATTATATTTTCCCTTAATAATATTGTAGATATAATATTGTATATCTATATATATCCAATATGAAACTTCAGTGGTCCGAGTTGGAAAAATCAAGTGAGTATCTTCCAAAATTAAAGTGATTTTAGTGCAAAGTTTTCTCTTTGTGTTAAATGCCTTTCACTGCGGCTCACTAAAACACAAAGAGGGGATTTCGCACTAAAAACACCAACCTGATTTGTTTAACACAGACGTTGAGGGAATAACGGGAGCTTACCTGAGACTGAAAGTACGTTTCCTGCGGCGTAGATAAGATATCCGCTGAGGCGATGTCCAGATGCAGGAGAATCTGTCGAAACGATGGCCTGTTTCTTGGTTTGCAGTTCCTGTGAGAGGATGAGACAATGTTTTACCACTAATGCGAGAGACACTTTTCCCTCTTTGTGAAATATCTTTATTTTTTTCTTCTCTTTCTTCTCCCTGACCACTTTCACACTCTCAGGCCTGTTTATGCCCCCCCTCCCACACACACGCACACACACACTTTATGATATTCTCTTACTGCTAACGGCTCAACTTTCTTCCACATAACTCTCTAGCTCCTTCCCTCCCCTCCTCTCTCCTCACGCCCCCCCCCCCAGCATGCTTACCAGCATTGCCTCAGGAGCAGTTTGAAGCTGTCTGGACAGCTATCTGGTACGGGCAGCTGTAGACTGTTGTTACCCACTCCCCAGATGATAGCGGAGGAGTCCACATCCTTATAGGGCACCTCTCCTGTCAGCATCTCCCACAGCACAACGCCGAACGACCTGCAGAGAGATGTGGCACAGTCACTCTCAGTCACACTGATCAAGATGTGAAGTGAGCAGATGAAAGGCAGCACACAACTGAAAGGTCACACTTTTAAACTTTCTGCAAAGGAATCAGACTTTTACCACAACGACTGGTACAACTACACTTTATCTCTGTAAAAAGATATTTATCTTTTGTGAAAAAAAGTCTTTAGATGCGAATGTCTTGAGGAGTTTAGTTCAGCATTATGAAAAGCGCAGTCAGTAAATGCTGCACAGTTACATTGGTAACAGCCAAAGTGATGTATGCTGCCAATTCCCAGTGATAGTTCCCATATACTGTACATGTATATGTAAAATATTACCGATGTTTGGTGACTTTCCTATATTAACCCGGTGATAGAGGCATCATAGCTCCAGGAAACCGTTGGTGTGACATGAATATGATTTGCCAAACTTTGCCAAAATGTGATGTTTTATTTCACTACACTGATGAAACACTGAACTGTTTTGTAGGAGAGCAGGAAAGCAGGCCCCATGGGGATGGTAACTAAGGAAAGTCTGTTGTTGGTGACCCTCTGGGTTGCCATGGTGATCATGTGCAGTATCCAAGGTGCCAGTAGCATCACATGCAGCATTGGGGGTGTGTGTGTGTGTGTGTGTGTGATGTTGTGTTTACATGTGTATTTTTAGAGTCTCTCCATCTCCGTGTTTATGATTCGTGGTGTATTTCGATACAGTGTGATATAGTTTAGAAATGTAATGAATGATTGGTCAAATGCTTTGTCAATTTAATGTCACTTATGTTAAAGTAACAATACAAGAGTGTGAAAATACCCCACTGTGCTGTAAATAAAAACATGCAGTTCAACTAAACTAAACAAATGAAAAAAGAAAATTACAGTGTTATTCACAAAATCCAGCTCGTCATAAAATGAATTTGGTTTCATTATAAACAGACCCATAATTTACATATATACAGACCTGTAACATATATACGTATACATATAACTATACTGACACAAATTCTTACTGCGTTACAATTATTTTACATAATATGGATTAATTATACTGAAGCCACTAAATCTGTAGGTTCCATTTTTGCCTTTGCCCTAACGTTACGTAACATTACCTAATGTTGTTGAGCAACAGTAGATGTTTATGGATATTTATATATTTATTTATTAATGTATTTATTACCATATATATTTTTTAAGCTTATAGTCTTTGATTGTTTTTTAGCTCTGTTATTAACAGTGTTCTTTTCTTTCTGTTCCTGTTTATTGTGTTTATTTGCTGACCTTGGTCTTGAGCTGTTGCATACAATTTCCCCTGCAGGAATAAACGCAGTTGCACTGAGCTGTAAGGTTATATTCAGTTTAGCTAACTTGTCTCACCTAAAAATGTGTTTATGGTAGATTCTTCCTTTGGCTATTTTAGCATAGTCCTTATATAAAAGTCAGAAATGAGCACTGTACCCGTTGTCGTCACAAACAAAACAACATCATACTTCACTACAGCCTCTCTGCTTCTTTTGTGGTATGGAGGTCTATCAACTGCTTTACATAAATTTAAACAAAACTGTACAGTATACACCCATGCTTTGCTTTCTTTCTGCATCAAAAGCTTTTTAATCCTATTTTCACTTCTCTGCTAATGCATCGCTGGCCCCGGGCCAAACCATCCGCAGGCTCGGACGGTTATTCCAGCCTTTCCTGAGCACTGCAGCATCTGGCAAATCAATTATTAAATTAGCCAGCGTTCCTTTCAGGACGGAAAGGCAGAGTGATGGAGGGATGTAGGATGGGAGAGAGAGGGAGGGAGAATGTACTGGGGCAGATCAGGGCTTCACACAGGGCAACCCATCAGACATGGCAGAGACCCTATAGAATTTCATGTAATGAGATATTGTACATAATACTGAATAGATTTTCTGGAAACAGGATCCTGTGCTCCATACTGTAGCAGGCTGTACCTAATGAGATTCTTTGTTGATCCAGCCACAGATAAGACAAATCACGAGAGAAGATTGCAAAGCTTCACCAATGCAAAAGGACAGTTTAAAAGGGATTTTGACACCTACCAGATATCCACCTTCTCTGAGACGGGTTCGTTGCGAATGACCTCGGGAGCCATCCAGGCCACCGTCCCAGCGAAGGACATCTTGGTGCTCTTGTCACTGAGCTCTTTGGACGTGCCGAAGTCAGAGATCTTCACTGCATCATCGTAGGTGATCAGCATGCTGGAATAAAACGTTAGTTATCATTTCTCAAGTTTATGTTTGCCGGTTTGAGTTCATAGAAAAATCTTTAAAAAACTCAGATAAATTAGATCATCTGAAATCAGTTACATCATACATCATCACACCACCAACCTGACCAGTGGTGAGGCAGTGAGGGTCTTTCAGGGTTAGAAATTTGCCTATTAATTATAGCATCTATGTAAATTTGGCTAATCAGAGAAACTCTCTGAAGCAGTGGTTCCCAACCTGGGGCTTGTGACCCCCACTGTGAGTCTTAAGATAAATCTTAGGGTTTGCGAGATGATTAAAAAGATAGGAAAGGAGAAAAAACATATTTTCATTATATTCATTTTTTCATAAATGTGTCTCTCTCTGTGGTGTGAGACTTGAGCTTTAACTGTAACTATTTAGTGACCCGTTTGCTCTAATATCATCATTTACAGTCAAATTGCAGTTGAGTTGTGACCACACAGGTCTACAAAACTCACTTTGGGGACTTGAGGTCTCGGTGGATGATCTTGTGGAGGTGAAGGTAGTTCATGCCCCCTGCGATGCCCATGGCCCAGTCCATGAGCAGGGATGGCGTGATCTTCCTGCCTGCTCTCAGCACCTCGTACAGCTGCCCCTGGGCACAGTACTCCATGATGATGCAGTAGCACGGAGCCTGGGTGCAAATACCTCTGAGAGTGTAGGAAAGTATGTATAGTATGTTAGAATAAAACATATTAGAGTTGTAAAAATACCAGTGATGAATGAGTGTGATGAGAAAACAAGAAAACACCAGTGTTTAGGCATTTTACATTATAATGTGATCACATGGTGCTCTTTGGGTTTAGAAAAATGTTCCAACCTTTTTGGGTTCATAAACCGTTTCACAACTTATTAAAACACAACAAACAATAAGATTAAAAGCCCTGTTATTGAACTCAAGATTGCATTTGTTGAATTTTCAAAATTCTCACATATATAACTATGAAACTTTAACTTCAGGAAGAGAAAAGGCATTTGAATAACATGGGCTGGTAGAACAGAGATAATAAAGGTATGAAACTGGAAATTATTACTTAAACATGTCATATTAGTATAAAACTCTGCACTTCCTGTGATACAATAAGCCAACTGATCATTTCTACTAACTTGAACGTGATGATGTTGGGGTGTTTGAGCTTGCGCAGGTGCTTGATGTCGGTCTCTTTGATGTTTCTCACTTTCTTTACGGCCACTTCCTGTCCGTGCAGTTTACCCAGGAAGACAGCGCCCTGGGCTCCGCTGCCCACCCACTGCAGGTCCGATATCTCCTCGAACGGGACCTCCCATGCCTCTGAGATTGGGGAAGAAGATGAAGGCAAAGTGGTTGGTGAGTTTATGGGTGTAGTAATATGTCAGTTATGGATTAAATGGACTGCTGTGAAATTCTGTACAGGCATTCATTGTCCCCAGAGGACTCATCCTAATGACTTGATTCACTACAGATAATGTAACGACGTCCCGAGAAGATAAATCTAAACAGGCGAAATTGGTAATTGTTATACCTGCTAAACATTAGCATGATAGCATTGTTATTGTGAGCATGTAGCACCGCTGTGCCTAAGTAGAGCCTCACAGAGCTGCTAGTGTGGTGGTAGATTCTTAGTCTTCTTTATGTTTTTTTCATTATTTCTTATTACATACATTTATATATAGCGTCCTGCTTGTCCTGAGTTATTTTGATGTCTCCCTCTTCATACTTTAATATGTCAACATGTCTCATGGAACACCATTCTGTGTAGCGCTCCTACTGGTAAATGTTGAAGTGCTAATAAAATTAAAAAGAAGAACTCTCTATATATATTTAATTGCCAAATAAATTCAACAACTATGTCAAAATGCAAACGCTAAAACGTCTATAACTTCACAGCACCACCACGGATGCTGCCGTGTCTTAACATCCTGTGACAGTAAAACCTGTTGTAAGCCTCAAAGCGGAACTACACTTTACATCTTTTTCTGTAGTTGAACCTCACCTTAACCTAAGACTCTGGGTGTGCAGGCAGACAGACAGGGAGCTCTAATCTCCTGTGGGTAAGTCTCCCTCAGCCTCTTAAATCCTGCTTAGTGCCATTGTGGGGCTGACGCAAAACAGGGGTCCAACGCTCAGGAGGGGGTTGGAAGAGGGACGGGATTTGAGAGTCTAATGTGGATGTATGGTGAATAGAGAGGTGGAGGGGAAGTGACGGTAGCGGTGGTGGTGGTGGTGGTAGCTGTGTGTGTGTGTGTGTGTGTCTGTGAAAAGAGAAGAGATGGGAGGGAGGATTCCCCCACGGGTCGACAGGGGGTCCATGTGGCCAAAGACAGACTGTTAATACAGAGAGAATTTACAGCCTGCTCTGCTGCTGTTCTTAACGAGGGGAAAGAAGATTCAGCTTCATTTATCACATTAATAAGGATGATATGAATGATTAATGCTCCGCAGTGATTGATTGAGGGCTCAGCCTCTAATGAGCCCCTCAAATTTCCTACAATAAAGACCACATCTGATACACCAGAATTTCCCCTGGTCTGCTTTGTAGGATCTGAAAAATTTAGCACATCACCAGACACCCCAAAGTCCTCCAGAATCAATGAAGGACACACAATTTTTCCTGATTTCTATTGTGCTACATTGTTCCCTCCGATCAAAGCCTTATAATAGGGCATTGTCATGCGGGAGGCAGGCAGTCACTTGAAATACCCCTATTTATTTCACTTTTATAATATCCGTTTTGCTCTCCTCAGTGTGTGTGACTCCCTGTGATGCTGCACAGAGGAGGGGAGCAGCGAGGTGCAGATGGGCTGGGAGTGATAACAGCACAGGATGAAAAGGAGTGGAAAGGAGACAATGAGGGATGGAAGGAGGAGGGGAGCGAAGGGGAGATGTGGAAGTCAAACGGGTGATAAAATATCAGGAGGCTATAAAGACAAGGAGAGATATAAAAACTGCCACCTTCATGCCTGATGTGTGAAGCTGTATGTATCTTATCAAGTTTGTTTTTGGCATCCGTATCTGTCTTTATGTCTTTATTGTCAGTGCTAGATATTATTAAGTGTTTTGCGAGGAGGGGAGCGAAGGGGAGATGTGGAAGTCAAACGTGTGTGCATTCATCCTTGGGCGCATGCTCGCTTGCATACGTGTGTGTGCGTGTGTGTCAGGTTTGCGTTAATAGAGATGAGAGGCGCAGGGTCAGAGCGTGGCCATGCATAATTCATGAGGCAGATTTGGCAGAGGAGTCCCAAGGGAGCTCTGCGCTATTGTAGTGGCTGCAGACATAAACAACACAGCGTCACAGGGAGCTAGTTTCATAGGGGAGGGTAGTAGTGGGAGGGAGGTGGGGTCGGCGCAAAAGGATGGAGGGTGGGGGTGGGGGGGGTATCAGGGGAAAATAAGCCCTTTGCAGCTTTGATAGAGTCTCTCTCTGGCTGCAGCTCGTCCACGTCAAGGAAAGTGCTTGTTTACAACATGGCCTTTGTGGGAGTCATTTTTCTACCAACTGTTTAATGTAATTAAACTGGGGGATAAGATCATTTAATTAGCATATCAAAGCTTCAGACTGGAATCTAATGGGAGCTACCGGCTGCTTTTATTAGAAAACTAAAAGCAACCACTGATCCCAGTGTGTATGGATGTGACCGTGTTTGCATTATGTACTGAAATGAATTTGACTGCTACACTTACCGTCCAGGTCATGTTTGTGCTCTGTGGAGTAGGCTTTGCCAATCATAGTCCAGACGGGCCGCAGACACCCAAACAACCCCTCCAGAAACCCTCCTCCCCCTCCGGTAGACTGGCACTGTAGCCTGGCATCGTCCGCCTGGCTCCGGACCGCGCTGCTGTCCGGCTCCTGCCCCTCTCCCTCCGTCCTCCCGGGGCTCCCATCATGCTCGTGGAGCTTCAGGACACTGTTGGCAAAGTGCTCCTGTTGTTCGTCGCCTGGTGTCTGGTTGTGCCCAGCAGTCTGACCCTCTCCGCCTCCACCTCCGGGCTCGACAACGCCCCCAGTATCTATGGAGAGGACGTTGCGAAGGACGCACTGAGTCGGGGTCAGGTCCATTTCTGGTGTGCATGGTGTTTCTGCATCGAGCCGCCGAAATGAAGGAGGATCAGAGAGTGGTGTGTTGAAGCCAGAGAGAGAAGGAGACGGGGCACGAGGTTCATGAATGAGCGCCATGAGGGACTGCGGTCATCCGAACAACTAGAGAACTGGGAGCCTTGACAAGACCAAACGTAGGAAGAGAGGGAGAGAAAAAGAGGATAGAAATTGTTATAAATCACATCAGAGGTTAAACCATTGCTTTTCCCTTCTGAAAGCCATGCAGACTGAATTAGCTGAATACTGAGTTTGTTGGAGGGTGTCACCTCAGGAAGATGATTACTTAAGCCTAGAATAAGTAGAACCTTTAGCTATAGTTATTAGATTATCACAGTAGGAAGAGAAATTCAGTGGCGTGATTTTTCTGTTCCATAAAATGTCCAAGTCTGACCGAAGCAGCACTGAACAATCTGCAAATGCTGGCAAGCACATCCCCCTAAGGCAATGATCAATATCACAGAAATGCACATTCATAGTTTCCATGCTCATCTGAATCAGGTCAACGTTTTGTTTTGTTGTATCAGCCAGATTTCTGACTGTGCAGTGGTCTATGGTGAAGGGCAACATTTCAGAGAGTACACAACGACAGACACAGTTCATCAACAACATGGACGATAAATATCATTGAAGATCACATGTAATCATTTTCAGCAATTCCCACAACTCAAAAGTAATGACCTATTGCTTTGTAATCTGACGCAGGTGAGAGTATAGTGGTTATTATTACTCTAGATGCACCATGTGATCATGGCACTGAGATTAACTAATGAGTCACGATGTATCTGAAGATGTTAAATCAATGCTAGAATGTGAAACATGATTCGGGAGGGACAAAAGAGCAGCCCGTCTGGACCATAAATCTGAGAAAGCCTCAGGTCACTACTATCTCTGATGAAGTGCACGGCAGATAATACAAGAGCCTGCTCTCAGCTAACTCACGACTACATAGAGGTGTCACGGTATCACAGTAAATAAATGAAACAATTCTACATAAGGAATATTACAATAATAGTGTGGCAGTGCTGTTGTGTTAGCATGTCCATTGTGCAGAATGGTGCCACAGCTGGTGATTTACATTCTACACATCCGAGCAATATCAGTGGTATATTAAAATGGATGAGATCAGATGATGGCTGTATTATATTGAGAGACTTCAGCAAGCCTCTTTAAAGGCTTGTCATTTCTCCAAGGACAACGGCGTAAACACGCTCAGCGGAGAGTGAAAATGCATTATTTCTTTTCAGAGCCCTCTGAAGTGATCCACACCTCCTCTGCTGTCTGTGACAAGCGGGACTAAGAGGTGACAGGTTTTTACCTGCTCAGTAAAATAATGATAGAATCAAAACCCTTCACAGTACTACAATGGTGTTGTTATAGTGCACACAACATAAAAATATACCCATATCCTCTTCAAAAATTCTAAACATGGAGCTTATCAGCTTCCATATCGTTTCATTTCAGTCACTGTGATGTGCATTTCAGGTATTGTATATTTCCTGTTCATATCTTCATCAGTCTGAAGGTCAATTTGAATCAAATGACTAATCCTTAATGTATCTGCAAGCTATTACAGACTATATATCGACTATCCTTCTGTGACAATTAGTAAAGCTGCTGGCATCTGATGGATGAGCCAGGAGCCCACTATGCTGTGATACCACTACCCACTGCACATAGATGTGTATAACCATCTGTAATTCATAAATAAGAAGAGAGAAATCATACGCAGCCAGGATTATTCATTAGCAGAGGCGCAACCATAAACCCTAAAAAAAAAAACAAAAAAAAAAATCCATCCTAATTATAATTTTCTGCGCAGAGAGAAACCCAACCACTGAGACACATCTGGTGTCTGAGAGCCGGAATAATCACATATCATTCACATCCGACTGATCCTGTCTCCTAATAGCCCTGCTCCTGCCCTCTCACTTTATTTATTTGGAGGTATCAGCTGCGGGAGCTGCAGGAGCAGTCTGTTACAGGCCAGTGCACCGTGGATGTATCGCAGGGGTTTCTTGTGCGCATCATCGCCTCTCTTCCTCGCAGCCTCCTGCGGTTGAAGATCCCCGCTGCATCAGCGGAGCATCACTTGACAGCACTGAAGTTGCAGTCAAATATAAAACCACCGTAGCTCATTCCTCTATCATAAAAGGACAAGCTGCGTTATTTCTGGTGCCATGACCAGCTGCCTTCTCCCACGTCTACCTGCTTATCGCGCCGACTGAAAGCTGCCAATGTAACGTTTCCTACCTCAGTGCCGACAGCGTAAGTCCATCGCTGGTGAACGCAGAAGCTTATTCCACTTCAGTTTGGGATTTATTCTAATAACAACCGCTTATAAATTCTTCCTGTCTCCGTTCGTCGGTGTAAGCAGCATCCACGCTCTATCCTCCCTCCTCCTCCTCCTCCCTCCTCTGTGCATCCAGTGAGGCTCCTCAGCCGTGAAGGAGGTCCGTGTGGAAGTCTGAGCGTTTATCCCGGTGAACAGTAAACACAGCTATAGCTACACTCCCTTGGTTCGCTTGTTTTCCTGCTCCTGCGCCTCCTCCTCCTTTTCCAGTTTTCCTCTGAGGATGCGAGGGATTTATACGGGCTCTCTCACCTATGGTAAACACGACCGGAGAGGAAGGGGGGGAGGGGGGGGGGGGAAGGGGGGGGGTGAAGGGGGAGGAGAGGAGAGGAGGGAGAGACGGGTGGGAGGGGGCCGAATGCTGGTGTCCACCTATCAGAGAGGGGGAATGTGCTTTGACGCGGTCCATTCGGTGAGACACGGGACAACCGCAGGTAAACGGGTTTGTGTGTGAGTGAGGCTACTCTTAGGGCAGGGAGGAGGAGGAGAAGGAGGTGGTGGCTGGTGGTGGATGGTGGGGGGTGGGGGGGGGGGGGGGGGGTCAGCCGGTATTGTGAGGTGATCAAAATGATGTCATCCCCAAAGCATGCCGCATTTAACTGGACAGCGCCATGAAAATCCCCTCAAACCCTATTAACGCCCTCTCTGCATCGAGTGTATAATCTGTGAGCACTACGCAGTGAGCCACAGAGAGGATGCGAAGGAAGGACGGCTTTTTATTATTATCATCATCTCCAATCTCTGCTGACCCATTTCTCTGAGACTGAGGGAGATCGGGACAGCACGCAGGAACCTAAATGGGACTTTCCCCAGGCGTGATTTGTTTCCCTGGGCGACTTTAATTAACCTGAATGAAATAAAATATCCCGCCAATTTAAACAACTGTCACCTTTTAACACGTAGCCTATCTCAGTCCCAACACATGCAATAACACCATAACCTTATCTGCACAGCATCCTTTTATTATTCAAGTTTTTACTGCTGGCACACAAGGGCTGACTCAACACCACAAAGTCAGACAATCTGAATAAGTACTGAATAAACTAGAGGGGCACTCAGAGCAGACTTCTGCCAAGGCCAATGTCAAACAACATGCACCAGACTTCAGAGAAAAACAAAAAAATCAAATTCATTGTAAATGATCCGGATTTGCTCCAAAATTGAATGGGTTCTCCCCTGGCCCATGTCCCATCGCTCTGCCAAGTTCCAAGCAAATCAGTCTAGTACTGTTTTGCATAATCCTGCTGACAAACAAACAAACATACAAACAAACAAACAGAACAGTGTGAAAACATAACGCGTCATCCCTAAAGGTAATAATACATCATGCTCCACTCTTTTTTCAAGCTTTTATAGACAAAGTTTGCGAAAACCTATGATGGCGATAAAGCCAATTGAAAAGCTTGAAACTCTCCACTCGCCTCTCACTATCATTCAAGTCAGGCAAATTCATGCATGATGAATGCATGCCCAGTTCAACTCTGGCCGGGCCACATGGAGATGCATGGCAAATCACTGCCAAACATTGGAAGAAATTCTTTACAGAGTCAAAATATTTGGCTGAACGCCAGAGTGAAGATGTGAGTTTGTGGAAGGCAGCTTTTTGGGGATCCCGTGGTCTGATGGCTGTGTATTTACTCGGGGGGCTAAATTGGTTGTAGCTACATGACCCTTTTTGAGGTTGCTAGTAATGCCAAATTCGCCAGCCGCGTTATCTCTGCGCAGATTATATAGCTGCATGTACGGCTTAAACGCGCACAAACAATGACCTGCATCCGTGCTGCTTGTAAGACAGGCGGGGCTGGGGTGAAACCCTAACTCAGTCTGCCAGGCAGAGAACGCTAATGTGATGACTGAGAAACTGGCACACTTACACAAACAGCACAGCATAATGCTTTCGAAGCCGCCTCATTCCCGCAACCC